GGCAATTGTGGGAAGGATCATCGGCCCAAAGAGCCAAAATGTCTGTACCCACCACCTGGGGGACAGAGCCCGCACTGCGAGTCGGGATGCTCCCAAACGCTTGCGCCTCGAGGACTGCACACAGCCAAGCAAGAGCGCGTATGGAAAGGGCGATGTGTGCTCATGGTGAGATGCAGCCTGGGTTGCCCCAGGCGCAACGGCGAATGCGACATCTTCCACACCAGCCTCGATGAGCGGCGCCCTGACGGCAAGTGCGTGCTTTGGCGGTGCGCGGGCCGCGCGTCTCTGGCAGAGTCCCTGGGGGCCATCCAAAACTGCTGGGCCGCCGGCACACTGCGCAGCGGACCTCTCGCCCACTTGCCACAGCACGAGCACAGCTAAGGACAGCCAGGCAGAAGAAAAATGCCCCGCTAGCGAGCAGGCTCAAAGGGGGACTTCTTGGCCGGGGCGATGCGCCTGGAGTCGCCGTCGGCGTTGTCAGCCATTGCCGGCGCCAGTGGCATCACCTCCCTTGCCTTGGGCTCTTTTCTTGGGCCTGGCAAGTTTGCGCTCCTCCCGAGCTTCCCGGCGCTTTTTCATCAACGCGCATTATCCTCCAAATCCGCCACAGATCCACCCCTGCAAGAGGGAACATACACAGCAGTTCCCTCGCACCATGTCTGTGCCGTAGTACAAGTACAAGTCGACGGCTTCGTTGTTGGAGTTGCCATCAAGTCGATCTCTGTAGCGCTCCTCGCTCCGCGGCGAGCTTGAAGCTGCTGGCCGCAAGCTCCGCCAGTGCCACATCAGGAATGTTTACTTGGTCGAAGTCGAAGCAGGCAAGTGTTTCCAGGAGGCGGCAGGCGTGTTCGTCCTCTGCCACCCCCTGGTCGCTGGGCCCGAGCTTGCACTCGGATCGCCGTCTGCTGTGGCGGGCGGCCAGGGGCGTGCCGCCGCCGGTGAGCAGGAAACGGCACACCCACCAAACCGTCCTCGGGCCACGAACGGGCCAGTCCGTGCACGTGTTCTGGGTCATGCCTTTCACGGCGTCCTTGGAGTCCTTGTACCGTTGTCCGAAAGCGTCGTGGCTGACACCGAAGATCCCCACGTCACCTGGCGAGCCAGCTGGCAGTCCGACAGCACCGCCCAGGCCAGTGGGGCCGCCGCCGCCGCGGGCGCCGCTGCTCCAGCCGCGGGCGCTGCTGCTGATCTGATGGCGGCAAGCGCCGGCGCCAGGGCGCCGGCAGTGGCGGGCGCCGGCACCAGAGCGCCAGGCGCCGCCGTGGCGGCGGTGGCAGGCGCCGCGGCGTCAGCTTCAGGCACCAGGGCCCAGGGCGGGCGCGCCAGCTTAGCCGCCAAGGGCGGCGGCCAAGGCCGCCACCCCACCGCCAACGGCGCTGGCGGGCGCTGGGGGCGCGGCAGGCGCCGCTGCCGCCGCTGCCGCCGCCCCACCTGCGTTGAGCGCCAGCGGACGGCCCGGCGGCGGGAATCCCAGGTGCATGGCCGCTGTGTCCCTCAAGGCCCCAGCAGCCGTTGGCGTAGGCAACCCTCGAAAACGATACACTTTGTCGGCACTGGTGAAGCCTGACGCGTTTCCGACGGCCCCACTGTGGGCAGGTGGCCCCAGTGGGCGATGTCTCCCCCCCGGCGCGAGGTCCTCCTCATAGGAGTCGCCGTCTGGAAACGAGGTTGTGAGGATCGTGGCCCCGCCATGGAGCAAGAAGGCTGCCAGCCTCTCGGGCCAGATGCGGGCGCCGCCAACATGGCGCAAGACGAAGAGAAAGTCGCCATCTTCCAGCCCGTTGGTTCCAGTCAACGCATGGGCTGCCATAGCTACTGCTGCTTGCGGGGGGTCGCCCGCTGCTGCCAGGCCTCTTGCGCCAGCTGATCCCCCTCGGCTACTCCAGGCGTCTTCCCTGGCGTGATCGCGAGCTGCATCCTCCGAACCGCAAGGGGTATGAGCTTTCCGCACGTCCAAGGTCCGAAGCCCAAGGTGGACGCGAAGAAGGCCACTGGCAAAGTGGGTGACGATCGTTGAGTAGAAAGGCCACTGAGAGTGCGACAGCCGCGCGCACTCTCGAGGTGGCACCCGGGGCAGATCGGGCACTGCAGCACGGAGGCGCAGTTGCACGGAGGGCACGGCGCTGACGCGGCCCGCAGCACCACCTTCATGGAGAGACCCGAGCTAGCTCGCCCACGACCGCGGAGGCCACGGAGTGCATGAACTGCCCCTCGCTTCGGCGGCTGGGAGGCGCCAGAGACGGCGGCGGAACCGCGCGGCCGCTCCCATCTCGCTCGTTGCTTCCTGCTTTGAAGAAACTGCACAGGATGAGGCGGGAAGGAGCCAAGGGAAGGAAAAACTGAAAACCCGCGGGCGGAGCCGTCGCTCGCCGCCGCCGCCGCCGTCTCGTTCGCCGCCGCCGCCGCCGCCGCCGTGCCGCCGTCCTTCGCCGCCGCCGCCGTCGCCCGCCGCCGCTGCCCGCCGCCGCCGCCGCTCGGTTCTGCCGCCCCTCGGGTGCGCCGCCGCCGCCGCGTCGCAGGCTTGGGCTCGGCCGCGCGCGCGCGCGGAGCCGCGGCCTCTGCCCCGGGCGGTGGGTGGAAGACCTCGGGCGCGGCCTCGAACTTGGGCTCGGCCGCCTCCGCGGGCCGGCTCAGGGGCACGCGGGCGGCCACGAGGGGACGGTCGGCGGGAGCGGGCGCCAGGGTCGGCTCTGGGCGAGGCTCCCGGTTCACCGCCTGCTCCTCCTCCTCCTCCTCCTCCTCCTCCTCCTCCTCCTCCTCCCCCATTTCGGATCTGGGCAAGATTCCTAGGTCATCTCCTCCTCCTCCAACTCCTCCTCCTCCTCCAACTCCTCCTCCTCCTCCTCCTCCTCCTCCTCCTCCTCCTCCTCCTCCTCCTCTTCCTTTTCCTTTTCCTCCTCCTCCTCCTCCTCCTCCTCCTCCTCCTCCGTAAGGTTGATATTTAAGACTATGTGGCGTGAACTGCCTCTTCTCTACTCCTCTTCCTCCTCATGCTCTGTACCAGCGGCCACCTGGGGGACTCCATTTGGCGGCCTCCACTCCTGTTCACCACTCCATTTCCTCATTACGCTTTGCACCAACGGCCACCAGACACTGCTATTTTCTATCATTTCTGCTATTTTCTGTTATGCCGATGATTTCTGTACTTCCCGCAACCATTCAAAATAATGCAGAAGAGGAGCGGAGGCGACGAGTTTTGCAATGTGGAGGAGGAAGCGGAGGAGGATATGGAGGAGGGGGTAAGGAGGAGGCGGATGAAGATACCCCCTTCCTTCCCGCCATCGTCCGCAGGCAGGCCACCCCACGAGCGAACCCATGCCAACCGCGTTTCGGAGGAGATGTTACGACCAGATGATCACCTTGGTGTGTAATACTCATATAACTCAGGGCGCACTGCTCTTCACATCGGTAGGGCGTAGTCGAAGGCGCAACGCCTATTTAGGATGAGGACGATAAAGAAGGGATCTACAGCAGGGCGTAATGCCCTTGATTGTACCAGTAGGGGAGAAGAGCGCAATGCTCTAGGAGGAAGAGTGTAATACTCTAGAACGTTGGGCGTGAAGCTCTTTAGGTGGGCGTAATGCCCAGGGGTGTTTTGAGGCGCAACGCCTGCTTTCTCCAGCGTAGCGCTGATTCTCTTTGGGCGCAAAGCTCATCAGGAGGGCGTAACGCCCAATGCGCACATTGATGTGCAACGCTCTCTTAAAGCGAAATACTAAACGGGTCGTAGCAAACTCTTTCTTCCCCACGATCCACAATGTTATGTTATGGATTGCGTTCCTACTGTCCCTCCGTCGTACTTTTCTTCCGCTGGCGAGATTGTGGGTTCTCTTGGCTGAACAAGGCAGGTGGGCACGCTGGTCCTCCTCCTCCTCCTCCTCCTCCTCCTCCTCCTCCTCCTACTGCTGCTACTCCACCTCCTCCACCTCCTGCTGGTGCTACTCCTCCTGCTCCTCCTCCTCCTCCTCCGCCTCCCCGTCCTCCTCCTCCTCCTCCTCCTCCTCCTCCTCCTCTTCCTCTTCCTCCTCCTCCTCCTTCTCCTCCTCCTTCTCCTCCTCCTAGTCCTCCTCCTCCTCAGATTCCTCTCCTCTCCTCCTCCTCCTCCTCTTCCCCCGCCTCCTGCTCTTGTTCCTCCTCCCCCTCCTCACCCTCCTGCTCCTGCCCTTGTTTCTCCTCCTCCCCTTCCCCTCCTCCTCTTCCTCTTCCTCCTCCCCCTACTTCTCCTCCTCCTGCGTGCCCCCTCCTCCTCCTCCTCCTCCTCCTCCTCCTCCTCCTCCTCCCCCTCCTCCTCCTCCTCTTCCTCCTGCTCCTCCTCCTTCTCCTCTTCCTCCTCCTCCTCCTCCTCCTCCTCCTTCTCTTCCCTCCTCGTCCAGTTCCTCCTGTTGCTCCTCCCCCCTCCTCCACCCCTCTCCCTCGTCCTCCTCATCCTTATTACATTCCTTTCTCTCTCTCTCCTCCTCCCCTTCCTCCGTGTTCTCCTCGCTCCACTCCTCCTACTCATTCTCCTTATCCTCCTCCTCCTCCTCTTCCTCCTCTCCTCCTCCACCTCCTCGTCCACCTCCTTGTCATCCTCCGCCTCCTCCTCCTCCTCCTCTTCCTACGGCTTGCAATGCACTTGGGAACTGTTACGACGACGGCGACGACCGTACGGTTCAGGCTCAAGATCAGCCATCGCACGTCCTCGGTATCACTCCGAGTAGACCCCCCCCAAAAAAAACCAACCGAGCAAGGTTTTTTTTTGCTCCGCGCCGCCTCTGCAAAGGGGCAGACTCCTTTGAAGCTCCGCTCTGGCGCCCTCAACGCCGACATGACGTTCACGCGTTCGTTCGGCATGGTGGCCCTTGACGGCGTGAGCGGGGTGGCCGACGAGGGCCTCGAGCCCGCCACCCTGCCACGCGAGCTGCGCGACGCCGCCCGTCGCAACCTCACGAACCGCAACGCGCGGGTCGAGCCGTACAAACGCGACGAATACGACAGGGAGAATCGCGCCACCATGGGCGGCAACACCAAGAAACCCGAAGCAGGTAGCTGGCTCAGGCATTTGATCGGCGTTAGCGCTCTTCGGTGCTGCGAGCCAAAGTCCACCACCATGGCGTGCCGTGCTCGGGCGCAAGATGACGACCGCCATCCTCGGGGACTGCAGAATCTGTGTGTTCCGCTACTCGGGCACCACGCAAAACCTGCGGCTGCACCGGGAGCCAAGCCCGCAGCGAGAGGCGCAGTTGCCAGACGGCCGCTGGCTCCCGAACCAGTTGTACATGAACGCCAAGGGGAGCTTCCAGAACACGTCCCTGGTGGCCGCGATTATTGACAAGGTCAGCACGGACGTGGTTCCACTGGAATTGTGGGACATTGTGGTCACTGTGGGAGAACCTCCCTGGCAACGACATGTTGCGCTCGTTGCACAATTCCCTGGGTTCCCATGACGACCCAAATGCTATCGCGAAGGGCGTGTTGCAGGCCGCGCTGACGGCTGGACGCAAGGAGGACGACGTTTGCTGTTGCGTCGGCATTGTGTTCCCTATGGATCCGGCGTAGGCGCCGAGACCCGACGACGTGTCCATCTACGTCGGGGCCGTCATCTCGCAGTAAGTGCGCGCTGCCCGCTGTAGTCTGTATCTTCCCCTCCTTCCCTCCCCCCCTCTCTCCCTCTCTCTCCCTCCCTATCTCTCTCTCATTATATTTTCCTCTCTTTCCCTCTCTCTACCAGGGCCTGATTTTTTCAACCCTCGAGCCCCAGGCTCTCCTCCGACTGTTCTTTTTTGTTTGAAAACCTCGGCCCATGCCACGGCTCTTGACGTGATTTCTTCGTCTCGGAAGCCAGTTCCTGAATTGTCCAGGGCTCGAGGCCCAGCCCGGCTCGCAGCGCGCGAGTTTTTTTCCAGCGGGAGTGCTTGCACTCTCGCTTTGTCCCTTTTTGTCTCGTTCTTTCCACGCGCGCCGAGAGGCTGAAGAAACACAGCGTTTACGATCGAGGTTGGCACGCCTTGCCGCGAGGTCTTGGGTTCCATCGGCAAAACAACCGCCCCCGCAGCCAGGCTAAGAAATCCGCGCCCCAAGGGCCAAGGAGAAACGCCAATAGGTGAGTCACTCGTAGTTGAAAGAAAACCAGTAGTTACGATTGAAGTTTGCACTCCTTGCCGCGAAGCCTAGGGTTCCTTCGACAAAACAACCGCCCCCGCAGCACGATTAAGACATCCGCGCCCCAGGGGCCAAGGAAAGACGCCAGTGTATGCGTCACGCGTAGTTGAAAGAAAAACAACCTTTACGATCGAGGTTGGCACAACTTGCCGCGAGGCCTTAGGTCAGATCGGCAAAACAGCCGCCACTGCAGCCAGACCAAGAAATCCGCGCCCCACGGGCACAGGAGAGACGCAAATATATGAATCACGCGTAATTGAACAACTAACGACATTTACGATTGAGGTTGGTTGTCCTTGCCGCGAGGCTTTGGGTTCCTTTTGGGGGAAAAAAGCCCTGCAGCAAGCTTAAAAACCTCATTGCCCCGAGGCCCAGGAGAGGCAAATCTGTGAGTCACGCGCAATTGAACAACGCAGCGTTTACGATCGAGGTTGGTCGTCCGTGCCGCGAGGCCTTGGGTTCCTTCGGCAAAACCGCCATTTTGATGTGTTTTAAATGTAGCGTCTTGTATGTATGTTGTTGATTGTAACTCGCCATTTGGGCTCAAAGATTCAGCGGCCTGCGCACCTCCGCGCTGCCTTGTCGCGCCGCTTCCGCGGCAGTTAGTGAGTAACTTCGCGCTCTCGCGCCGCCCCCGCAAAGGGAGAAATGGGAGGACGAGGAGGAGGGGGAGAAGGAACGAGGACCGCGAAGCGCAAATAACTTTGCGCCCTCGAGGGAGCCCTACTCCCAAGGACCCGTCACCCGGAAGAGCGAGCGGACGCAACCCCCTAGCGCAGCGAGCCAGGATGCATGCAGCAGGCAACGACTAGGGCTCCCAGCGTCGCGCTTCGCGCTCCGCGAAGCGCGAGTGACTTCGCGCTCTCGCGCCGCCCCTGCAAAGGGAGAGATGGGAGGACGAGGAGGAGGGGGAGAAGGAGCGAGCGGACGCAACCCTGGCGCAGCGAGCCAGGATGCGTGCAGCAGGCAACGACTAGGGCTCCCCTAAGGCTCCCAACTTCGCGCTTCGCGCTCCGCGAAGCGCGAGTAACTTCGCGCTCTCGCGCCGCCCCCGCAAAGGGAGAAATGGGAGGACGAGGAGGAGGGGGAGAAGGAACGAGGACCGCGAAGCGCTAATAACTTCGCGCCCTCGAGGGAGCCCTACTCCCAAGGACCCGTCACCCGGAAGAGCGAGCGGACGCAACCCTGGCGCAGCGAGCCAGGATGCGTGCAGCAGGCAACCACTAGGGCTCCCAACTTCGCGCTTCGCGCTCCGCAAAGCGCGAGTAACTTCGCGCTCTCGCGCCGCCCCCGCAAAGGGAGAAATGGGAGGACGAGGAGGAGGGGGAGAAGGAACGAGGACCGCGAAGCGCTAACAACTTCGCGCCCTCGAGGGAGCCGGAAGAGCGAGCGGACGCAACCCTGGCGCAGCGAGCCAGGCTGCGTGCAGCAGGCAGCCAGCAGGCAAGAGCGGCGAGAAAGAGACTTCCGCCCACTCGAGCCGCGGCTGCGAGCGACGGCACCGGGGACGGGAGCGCCGGCGGCGGGGGGGGATCACGGGGCGGCCGCGGGGCGGCCTCGGGCGCAGGCACCTCTGGCGGCTCGGCAACAAGGGATCGGGGCGGCCGCGCACCGCCGTCTGAAATTTTATGGGCCGTCGGGGGGGGTCATCTGGGAGGGTGCGCCGCATCCAACGCGTGCTGGCCGGCTCGTGCCCCAAAACGGTGCTGCGGGAGGCCGCGCCGTGGCCTCGAGATCCCCCCCCCCAAAAAAGACCCCACTGCGCGGCGCGTGTCATCGCACAGCCTGGGGACCTTGGAGGCCCTCGGTCGCCCCGCCATGTCTTCGGACAGCGGCCTCAGGCCCAGAACTGTGGGGACACCCCGTATCCCCGTGGACCCACCCGGCGGTGTAGGCACCCCACCTCGTGGGGATTCCGAATGCCCTCCCTCTTGCAGGCATCGTGCTGCCATCGGGAGCGCCACGTGAAGACCGAAGGAGCTCGTCAGGCCACGGCGAGCCTCGGCCCAGGTCACATAGTTTCACGCACGGCGCCCCGCGATGTGCGGTTCTCTTCGAGCCCTCGCGCCACCGCCCTGGAGAAGGGCGCCTCTCCAACCAAAGCCGCGGGCCGCGATGTCAGAAGCTCGATAATACTCGCGCCCCTGGGGGTGGCCTGGGCTTCGCCGTCGGGACCTCGCGCGAGCACCTCCTGTTCGCTACGCGGGAGCGCGCGCCAGAGTCTCGATGCCGACTTGCGCGAGCATATGCTCGTACGTGATGGGAGGATGGGTTTGGGCGGAGCCCGCGGACTCGTTCGACCCGGCTGACTTGACCGCTCCCATCTGAGCGACGATCAAAAACGGGTGTTACGCGATATGACACAGCGACCTTGCGCCGCGGCTTACGCGGGCCGCCAGCGCGGCACGCTACATTGGGAACGAGGGCGCTTACGCGCGAGCTTACGCGGGCAGCTTCCCCAACATCCTCCATACCTCTTCCTTCATTCCTCCTCGTCGCACCATCAGGCGTGTCGGCAGAGCGGGCCAGACGTTTCGCCCGACATCTCTTCACAATGTGTGATACTATCGCTGGGAAATCCGACGCGACACGGATGGAGAGCGGAGGGTTTGCGAAATGCGGCTCTCGTCCCAATGCCGCACACATTCGTCCTACCAACTTCCAACAGTCAAGAGCAAAATGGAGGGCAAACTGTTTCGCATCAGCGATCCAGCCTCAACGAATATCGATCCCGCCTCAGCGCCGCGCACATTCGCTTCAAGACCTTGTAAGACGAATGCAGAGGTGGAGGATGGAGAGCGTGCTGCTTTCAAAATGTGGCTCTCGCCCTGGCGCTGCGCGCACTCGTTGAAAAGCTTGCAATAGGCACGCGGAGCGAGGGCGGACCGTTTTTCCTGAAGGGGGCTCCAACCAGATAGCCGTGCAGAGTTGGCCCGGAAGACGGCAACGGGCACGTAGACGGGGGGCGGCTCGTTTTCAAACGGGCAAACGGGCCCATCTTTGACACGTCTGGAACTACACGACACTAAACAAAAAGGCAGCGACCACACTGGTGGAGGTCGGCTCGATTTTAAAACGGTGCTCTCGCCTGAGACGCATCGAAGCTGTATGGCCCGAGACCATACAACACACAAATGCAATGCAACTCTCCCTGACTTCGGATCCGTGGTCGATCCTCCGACTTACCCCTGTGTAGAGAATAGACCCCACACGATGCGAAGACGTAAGGCGGAAATCGCCGCCTCAGGACACGGTGTGGCGGACACCACCGCAGAGTATGGCGGAAATCGGTATCAAGGGAGACCGAATAGTTGGGCGGAAATCTCCGCAGTTCTTTCGAAACCGCCGAAAGTACGTCGGATCCGAAGTCAGGGCTGCATGACATCATAGAAGAACAATGCAAATGGCATAAGCACAAATTCTCGGAGGTCCGCGCGGACCTCCGAAAGTCTATGTTTCTGCGATTTTTGTTCCCCGACATAGAGTCCTCAATCGACGCTGGCTCGCACCTGTCTATGACTTGACGTTGCTTGCGCGTGCGCGAACTGGGGCGACTGATTCTCAAAACGGGCATGCCCGCTTGACCAGCAGACCATGGGCCTCAGAAGTGTCCTTCGGGGATCTTCTGACCCAGGTCAACCCAGACCCAGGTAAGTCAAGCCTTGCAACATTCTGCAAAATCCTGAAAGATCCTGTACCCAAACCCGGGTCAATGCGAAGAATCCTGCAAAATCCTGTAGGATCCTGCGCCCAAACCCGGGTCAATGCGACCCTGTCCCTGCAGGATCCTGCAAGATCCGGCGCTCTGGCTGACCCCCGTTTGCATTGACCCCCGTCTCAAGGCTCCTGAGTCCTGTAGATGCCTACGGAGCCGTCCGCCCCCCGACGTTGCTGTTTCCCGTGGTCTTTTGGTCCAGAGTCCAACCGAATGTCATCGAACAACGACCCCGCCAAAGGCGGGGTCATTGTGCTAGTTGAGCTTTCTCTGCTCATCCAGCTCTATCGCTCCAGTCTTGAGCTAGCATCGAACCAGGCGCAAATCCCCCCCCCGACCCCCCCCCAAGGAAAAAGCATAACGACACTATCGCTTTCACCCCCCCCTCCCCCGTGAAATCTAGAGCCTGCAGTCGGACCTGGGCCACAAGAACATCCCTCAAGAATATGAGACCCTCCGTCGGCCAAGACGAACAGAGCATCCAAGGGAGCCCTCCCCAGGATGCACAGAAAACACATCAAATCAACACGAAGAACACCTGGGCACCCTCCCCGAACCGAACTCGATCTGATACCTCGGTCCGACTGTAGAGGATAGAGGAGGAGGAAGCGGAGGAGGAGGGTTAGACTGGATTAGATCTCCTGGAGACCTTTGCTTCAACAGTGCTAGACCATGCAACTGCCAACTGCTGCTGCACAACTGCCTGCTGAAAAAAATGTCTGAGATGAGGCCTTCGCGGCCTCCACGATGGAGGAGGCGGCCACGGTGGCGAAACAGTGTCGGGCCGAGCAAAACCACATTCCGAACAAATTCAGAAATGTGCGCCCCACCGTGCGGGTCGGAAGACGTCGGAAATTGATAGGAGGAGGAGGAGGAGGAGGAGAAGGAGGAGGAGGAGGAGGAGCTCTGGGCACGGCGAGCTCGCGTCGTGACGACTCGCGCACTGTCGTCGGGCACCGCGCGGGTCGCTCAGCCTGCTGCACGATCGCGGCTTTCAGACCACGCAGGATCTGCCCGCTCTCGGCAAGTCAGCGGCGTTCAACCCGGAACGCCCGCCTTCGTGAGCCTCGCTTATCCGACCCCTGTCCCCAACGGCGTGGCCTGGGACCCCCTGGCCGATATGCACCCCTAGATGGGGACACCGGCCGCCCCCTTCGGGTTTCGAGGGGTAGATCACCCACTGGGGTGGTAAACTGGTGGGGCTCAGGATGGGGATGGGGATAAAGGGTCGGTCGCCGCCGCATCGGCACGACACGAATCTACCGCAACCTTCCGACGGCTCTGGGGCCCAGGAAACGGCCCCGGAAGGCCGAAAGCCACTACCTCCTTGGCCCGCGGCGATCCCGCGTCACCAGAGGTCTGGGGAGGAAACTGCCAGGGATAGGAATGGGAAGGCCTCGTTGAGGGCTTATCCACTTCTACCATCCCTTGACTCACGCTGGAACGGCCACGATTTGCTCCAAACCTCCCTGAAGGCATCTTGACTCACATAGACATGGATCTGCCAATACCAATGTGTATCAGCCGCGATATGCCTGCATTCACCTCGACGCATCATACCAGGCCCGGTCCCCCGAGGTCGCTTGGCGAGAAGTCGCCAGGCCCTTTTGGGGAAACCCGAAGCCAGTGGCGAGGGCCCCGGAGGCTGGCCTTCAGCCCGTCGCCAGGGCGTCGGGCCACCCAGTCGTTGCCGCCCTTCTTGGGCTGGCCGTCGGCTCTGGCGCCTCCCGCTCTGCCCCCTGGTGTGAGGGCGTCGCTGCCCCGGCGTGCCCGCCCCCGTCGCTGCCTGAGTCTGTCCCTCCCTCTCTTGATCCCTTCCTCCCTCCCTCCCTCGCTCTGTCCCTCCTTCACTCCCTCTCTCTGCCTCTCTCTTTCTCTCTCTCTCTCTGTCTCTCTCTCTCTCTCTCTCTCTCTCTCTCCCTCTACATATCTATACCCAACTCTATCACTCCCTCTCCCCATATGTGTATACCTCTTTTTGTCATTCCGAAGAAGCAAAACGGGGCGAAAGGAAACGAAGCGAAGCGAACACCAGAGTCGTGCGCGCTACTCTGCGAAGCCCGCCCGTGCCCATCGGGGCATGGCGTGGAGGCCGTGGCCTCGTGGGGGCAGACTGCAGTCGCCCGACCGAAGCCCCGTTCGCCCGCGTGAAATGCGAAAGAGTCGAACTACGACAGGATCAATCAGGATCGAATCTGCAAATCCAGGTGTCTGAAACAATTAAATGACGCTCACGCGTAACATATGGTGTGAACTTCCCCCCCCTCCCCCCAAATGCAGTGTTGGGTTTGGCTGTCCCGAGCTTTTTAGTGTCGGACCAGTGATGCGTATACGTGCCAACTTTGAGTTGCGGGGGGAGGGGGGAGTGCTGCTTGATCTTTCCCTCCACCGCACGACAGGACCAGTCGGAATCAGATCTGCACAAACCGGTCGAACCGAAACCTGCACCGGACCGAACTCTGCATCGGCCCGGGGTCGGCATCGCATCGGAGCGACGGCGCCAGGATGCACGGCAGCGCCATGCAGGCACCGGGCCGCACGGGGTCGCCAGAGCATCGAAGTCGAGTCGCATCAGGCTGGCCAAGGAGCCGGCACCGGATCGGATCGAGCGGATCGGAATGGACCCTGACTAGGACCAGCGCCATGACACAAGCGCGTCCCACACTACTCGCAAAAATTAGCCATTCGCAGAAGACCTGGATCCGCCGTGGGGGATTTACGACACATTCAACCTGTGGTGTTGGGTCCTCGTTTTGAAGATACGGTGCCACGCGTTCTCCTCTTCTCCTCCTCACCCTCCTCCTCACCATCCTCCCTCCTCCCTCCTCCCTCCTCCCTCCTCCCTCCTCCCTCCTCCTCCCATCATCATCATCATCATCATCATCATCATCATCATCATCATCATCATCATCATCATCATCATCATCGTCATCGTCATCGTCATCGTCATCGTCATCATCATCATCATCATCATCATCATCATCATCATCATCATCATCATCATCATCATCATCATCATCATCATCATCATCACATCATCATCACATCATCGTCATCATCATCAGCATCAGCATCAACATCAGCATCAGCATCAGCATCAGCATCATCATCGTCATCATCATCAGCATCATCATCGTCGTCATCATCATCATCATCACCCGTTTCGCACACCCAGTACAGCGCTTCGTTGCCACATAGGGAGCCCCAGCGAAGGTCCCAGTGGGACCGCCCGCATGCGCCCCGTACACCCAGTACTGCGCGTCGTGGCCCCATAGGGAGCCCCACCAAAGGTCCCAGTGGGACAGCCCGCATGCGTCCCGCACACCCAATACAACGCTTCGTGGCCCCATAAGGAGCCCCAGCGAAGGTCCCAATGGGACCGCCCGCATGCGTCCCGCACACCCAATACAACGCTTCGTGGCCCCATAGGGAGCCCCAGCGAAGGTCCCAGTGGGACCGCCCGCATGCGTCCCGCACACCCAGTACAGCGCTTCGTGGCCCCATAGGGAGCCCCACCAAAGGTCCCAGTGGGACCGCCCGCATGCGTCCCGCACACCCGGTCAACGTTTCGTGGTCCCATAGGGAGCCCCAGCGAAGGTCGGACCGCGCGCATGCGTCCCGCACACCCAGTACAACGCTTCGTGGCCCCATAGGGGGCCCCACCGAAGGCCCCAGTGGGACCGCCCGCATGCGTCCCGCACACCCAGTACAACGCTTCGTGGCCCCATAGGGAGCCCCAGCGAAGGCCCCAGTGGGACCGCCCGCATGCGTCCCGCGCACCCAGTACAGCGCTTCGTGGCCCCATAGGGAGCCCCACTGAAGGCCCCAGTGGGACCGCCTGCATGCGTCCCGCACACCAATTTCGGCACACCCCTCACACGTTTCGTGGCCCCATAGGGAGCCCCACTGAAGGTCCCAAGTGGGACCGCCCGCGCCTTGGAGCCGGCTGGGGACCGCCCGCGCCTTGGAGGCGGTCCAGCACTGGTTCGAGGAGGTTTGTTCGCCCTTTTCGGCTTCCGAGGACATTGTCGAGCTCTGGGACCCCGATAAAGCGGATCCAAGGATAGATGCTGCGTCGGATGGACCCCGCTAAGGGTCCGGGGACCCATTTTGATTGGATTTCGGGATCTGGGACGTCGTCGTCATCGTCGTCGTCGCCGCCGCCGTCGTCGTCGTCGTATGTCTGCCGATGGGCGGTTTCACTTCCATAGGTACGGGGTTGGCCCTGCCTGGCCCTCGCGGCTCTTCCGGGGGCTGACCCGGGAGGTGGACGTGAACACATTCTTTGCGGGAGCGGGCGACGGCGGCGACGATGACGACGATGGCGCCGGCGTCGGCGGGGACGACGACGGCGACGACGAAGACGGTGACGGCGGCGACGAACACAACGCACGGCAGACTGGCGTTCGGCGGGCGCTACTGAAAGGCCCTGGCCCTCTTGCGCTCTCCGCAGGCCTGGGCGGTGCACTCAGGCCGCGGGGGGGGACAGGGAGCCGGGGAGGGCCTCTCTGTCCCGTACACAGCTTATGTCGCCGAGCGCCTTCAGCCGCCCAGCGTCCGCCTCCAGCGCCAGCTACCGCTCGTGCGCCTTAAGCGCCCGTCACTTTTGGATGAAGGGCGGCTTTGTGCTGCAGGTGGCCTGCTCGTGGTTCTCGTCGCCACTCCTCAGTGGTCCCGCGCTCGTTGCTTCGCTGGCGCTCCTCGTCGCCATTGCCGTGGGTCCCCCGCGGTCCTCGTCGACATTGTGCCAACGTCCTCTGGACAGCATTGTGCCGGCGCCCTCTGGACAGCATTGTGCAGGCTTCTTCACTTTTGGCTTCCTCAGGCGTGAATCCTGGGAAATATGAGGCGGGGGCTTCGTTTGTGCGTGATTTGCGAGGAAATCTCAGGCGGGACCCGCCTTCCTATGGGGCCCGCAGCTCATGTTCGAATCCGAGGCGGGTCATCCTTAAACCTGTAGCTGTCGTCACTTTTGGGCTCCAGAAGCCCTTCAGCAAGCGTCCCTCAGGCGAAACCCTCATTTTGAAAAGGAGCCACACGTACCTAGGATGCCCGCCCCCCCCCCCCCCCTTGAGATCTCAGTGGGACTTCTCTTCGTTGTCCTGCTTGGACCCACACCTCTGGGCCCTCGGCCTGCAAGCCGCATATCCACCCTGGGATTCCTCCTCCGGAGGCCCCTAAGCAGGCCCCTGCGAAGCGAAAACCTCATTGTGAAAAGGAGCCACCCGCACCAAGGATGGTCCCCCCATGAGATCTCAGCGGGACTCCTCCTCGTTGCCCTGTTTGGACCCACACCTCGGGGCCTTCGGCCTGCAAACCGCATCCCCTCTCTGGGTTCCTCTCCCAGAGGCCCTTCAGCAAACGCCCCTCAGGCCAGAACCTAACTTCGCAAAGGAGCCACCCGGACCTAGGATGGCTTCCCCATGAGATCGCTGCGGGACTTCTCCTCGTTGCCCTGTTCGGACCCACGCCTCGGGGCCCTCGGCATACAAGCCGCATCTCCCCCCTTGGGATTCCTCCTCCAGAGGCCCTTCAGCAAGCGCCCCTCAGGTGAGACTGTAATTCCCCAAACAGCTTGCTAAACGGGGTGCTGTTGTGATAGAAGCTAACTCCGGCCGAGGGAAAGGGAAGCAGAGACATCCTCACAAAAATTTGATGGTCCGGGCCGTTTCGCTTGAGACATCCTCACAACTCTCGTTTCTGAGTTGGCCGGGATTGGCCCTTTCGCTTGAGACATCCTCGAAAAGTTGCGCTGCGGGACGCCGCGCGAGAGGTGGTACAAGCCGTTTCGCTTGAGACATCCTCGAAACTCTGAGCCCCGAGATGCCGTGCGAGAGGTGGTCCGGCCCGTTTCGCCTGAGACATCCTCGCAACTCTGGGCTCCGAGATGACGCTTGCGAGGTGGTTCGGCCCGTTTCGCCTGAGACATCCTCGAAACTCTGAGCCCCGAGATGCCGTGCCAGAGGTGATCCGGCCCGTTTCGCCTGAGACATCCTCACAACTCTGGGCTCCGAGATGCCGCTCGCGAGGTGGTCCGGCCCTTTTCGCCTGAGACATCCTCGCAACTCTGGGCCCTGAGGTGCAGCGCAAGAGGTGGTCCGGCCCGTCGCCTGAGACATCCTCGCAACTCTGAGCTGAGATGCCCTGCGCGAGGTGGTCCGGCCCGTCTCGCCTGAGACATCCCCGCAACTCTGAGCTCTGAGATGCCGTGCCCAAGGTGGTCCGGCCCGTTTCGCACAAGACATTCTCGCAACTCTTAGATCCCAGATGCCGCGCAAGAGGTGGTCCAGCCTGGGGGCCCAGAAGACCATATGTTACACATCCCCCCTGGGAGCCCCAGGAGGCCCCAGGAGGCCCCAGAGAGCTTCAGGAGGCCGCAGGACGCCGAGGACAGGCCCCAGGGGTCCCCAGGACATCCCCAGGAGGCCCCAGGAGGCCCCCTATCAGAACGAGTCAAGTTAATACACATCTGGTGTCGATTTGTTGATTTTTCTTGCTATTGTGGCCCCCCCCCATTTGGGGGGGCCCCGACGGCCACATGTTAGATATCCCCCCCCTGGGAGCCCCAAGAGGCTTCAGGAAGCCCCAGGCGGGGTCCAGGAGGCCACAGGGGGGAGCAGGAGGTCCCCAGGAGGCCCAAGGAGGCCCCAGGAGGCCCCCGCTTCTCGGAGCTCTGAGACCCCGCGCTCGAGGTGGTCTGGCCCGTTTCGCCTGAGACTTCCTCGCAGCACGTTTCGCAAGAGACATCGTCGCAACTCTGGGGTCCGAGATGCCGCGCGCGAGGTGGTCCAGCCCGTTACGCTAGAGACATCCTCGCAACTCTGGGCTCCGAGATGCCCTGCGCGAGGTGGTCCGGCCCGTTTCGCCTGAGACATCCTCGCAACTCTGGGCTCTGAGATGCCGTGCGCAAGGTTGTCCGGCCTGTTTCGCGTACGACATTCTCGCAACTCTGACTGAACTCCCAGGTGCCGCGCAAGAGGTGGTCCAGCCTGGGGGCCCAGAAGACCATATGTTACACATCCCCCCTGGGAGCCCCAGGAGGCCCCAGAGAGCTTCAGGAGGCAGCAAAACGCCCAGGACAGGCCCCAGGGGTCCCCAGGAGATTCCCAGGAGGTTCCCAGGAGGCCCCAGGAGGCCCCCTATCAGCACGTGTCAAGTTAATTCACATCCGGTGACGATTCGTTGAGTTTTCCTGCTCTTGTGGCCCCCCCCCATTTTTGGGGGCCCCGACGGCCACATGTTAGATATCCCCCCCTGGGAGCCCCAAGAGGCTTCAGGAAGCCTCAGGTGGGGTCCAGGAGGCCCCAGGAGGCCCCCGCAACTCGGAGCTCTGAGACGCCGCGCTCGAGGTGGTCTGGCCCGTTTCGCCTGAGACTTCCTTGCAGCACGTTTCGCCCGAGACATCGTCGCAACTCTGGGGTCCGAGATGCTGCGCGCGAGATGATCCAGCCCGTTACGCTGGAGACATCCTCGCATATCTGGTCTCCGAGATTTGGGGGGTGAAAGATGGGGTTTGCAACAGGGGGTCTTCAATGGGGGCTGAATGGCCCATGTATGCTCAATGTATCGTTCATGTATGCGATCGGGTACGATTGGCATCCAATGTTGGCGGTCATTGCGGGCCAGTCGTTCGTGCCCGCGCGTTGTCCGCGCGGGCACACGCGCCGTCCATCCATTATCGTTCATGCGTGCGGGCGTTTTTGCATATTGCGTGTGAGGCGGCGAAGTGGAGTGCAAGCGTGTCTTGATTGTGCGATTGATGATCGCGTGTGTTCCCTACCATGACTTCTCGACCCCCAAGACATATTTGAAATGGGTCCGCGTTTCTCCCAAAATGTGAATTCACATTTTCCTTTTTCCCGAAATGTGAATTCACATTTTCCTTTTTCCCGAAATGTGAATTCACATTCTGGCCCCGGTCAAAAAAAAAAAACGACACCACATTCCAGAATCACATTTTCCTTTTTTCCAACATGTGACTTCACATTTTCCTTTTTCCCTAGATGTGAATTCACATTTTGTTTTTCCCACCAATGTGAATTCACATTTTACCCTGGCCGTCAAGATCCCCCAAACTGAGGCGCAGTGTTCCGCATGTCAGATTGGCTGGGCAGATTTCGACAGTCACCTGACCGCTTTCGTTTGTTCCAGCCTGTTCCTTTTGCGGCCTCAGCGCACGTTGCCTTTTTCGCCTTTCCAGAGCCCCCCGCCCCCTTGTTTCCTTTCCCCTCAAAACTCGCGCATGGGTGCAGGCGGGGGGGTTCAATTAGTTCCCCCGCCGAACACAGCAATCGAGGATGCATCGCCCATTCATGGCCCATAATGACATTATTGCCGGGACCCTGCGCCCGACCCCCATTCTCACCCTCCAAGAGATGCCGTTCGGGATGAAGAGGAAGTGGGGGAGGACGAGGACGAGGAGGAGGCATGTTCGAACGTGCCATGCTAGCCCGCACTGCACGGGCGCGCAATCGACCTTGGAAACCGCAGTGGGTTTAAAAACCCTGTTTAGGGATACTGCGCTCCGGCTATAATTTTGGAAAAAAAAGGAGCCACCGGTACCTAGGATGGCCCCCCCCCATGAGATCTCAGTGGGACTTCTCTTCGTTGCCCTGTTTGGACCCACGCCTCAGAGCCCTCGGCCTGCTGCCGCATCTCCCCCCTGGGATTCCTCCTCCGGAGGCCCCTAAGCAGGCCCCTGCGAAGCGAGAACCTCATGTTGAATAGGAGCCACCCGCACCAAGGATGGCCCCCCCATGAGATCTCAGCGGGACTCCTCCTCGTTGCCGTGTTTGGACCCACGCCTCGGGGCCCTCGGCCCGCAAGCCGCATCCCCCCCTGGGATTCATTCACGGTGGCGTTCCAAGGGCGCACCGTGCGAGAAGGCGACGGGCCAAGGGAACGGCGCTCTGGAGACGGCCGGACCTCCGGGGCGCGAGCAGTCCGCAGCCAGACCGCGGTCCAGTGGACTCTCGCCCTGGGCCGTTGGCTGCTCGGCGCACTGCTCCCTCGGCCGACGTCGCCCTGGCGTGATCCTGGACTGCGGCCGCCACGAGGTCGGGAACGGCAAAAAGGACGACGACGACGACGACTGGTGGCTGGAACTCTACGTGCTGTTCTCGCGCGCCACGCGCCACGAGGACCTAGTGCCCATGCGGGCGCCGCCTATCGAGTTCTTCCTGGCCGGGCCGCCGGACGGTTTGCGGAAGCAGCTGGAGCAGTCTGCTGCGCGCACGAAGCGGTACAAGAGGGAGGCGACGGCCCTCGCCAATGAGCTGGGCTTCACAAGGTTTAACCGCGAGGCCTGACCTGAGGAGCGGACCGCCCCAGACGCGTCTTCTCTTGGCTGCCCCAGTGTTTGGCCTCGCGCCGCGGACGACCCGCGCGCGTCGCTGGGACCCTCTTGGGGGGACCAGCGCGCGTCGCGCGAATTCCGCGCCGCGCTCTGCCCAGCGCCTCGCTCGCCCCTCGTCGCCCCGCCCAGCGGCCACAGCCTAGCCCGCTATCAGTTAGCCAACGAGCATTCTCTCTCTCTCTCTCTCTCTCCTCCGCTCGGCGGACGACCCGCGCGCGTCATAGGGACCCCTTCGGGGCGATCTGCGCGCGTCGCGGCGACTTCGCATTGCGTTGCGCCCGCAGCCTTGAACTTTGGAGTGCGCGGGCGAAGGGGAAGGTAAAGAAGGGGAGGAAGCGGGCGCCATCCCCGTGTGGGGCGTTCCGACATCGGCGTCGCGGCGCGCGGGCGCTGTCGTCGAGGTTCCCGGGGAAGTTCCCTGCCGAGGCCACGCTCAGTGTCACGAGAACTCAGAGTGAGGCAGACCCAAACCATTCACAGTCATACGTATATATATATATATACACACACGTACACTAGGCGTATCCATGCTCGCATTCACGCAAACGACTCAATAGCACGCAGACTCTTTCACAATCAGACTCACTCGCACTCAGACTCACCCGCGCTCAGTCTATCATGCTCAGACCTATCGTTTTCGCTCGTGTTGTGTACCTCGCCAGAAATTTCGGCGCACCCATAAGGCGCTTCGTAGCTCCATAGGGAGCGCCACCGAGGAAGAAATTCACGATTGTGGTACTCACAGCTGCGCATGGTTGGGTCGTTCGCCAGGATACCTTTGGTTCTGAC